TAAAAACTTCAGAGGAGGAGGAAGAGGGAGTGAAGGAGATGCCTTCTTCAGAGATTAAAGAGGTGTGTGCAATGTGGACCAGGGTGCAAGCTTTTGTAGAGAAACACCACCCTGACAAAGCTGAAACAAGCCATATCTGCAACATGTTTAATAACAAAACCCTGTCCCACTTCAGGGAAATCTTAGAGAGATGCCAGAAACAGAGCACTCTGGACAGTTATTTTGTGAGACAGGGGTCCAGTGACTCTCAAGCTGGTTCTAGTGGCATTAAAAGACAGAGAAGGGAAGTAACCCCATAGAAGGTATTGCTACCTAAAGTCTTCATGGAGGGGGGATTCCCCTTCCAAACACTAACTCCTCCCTCTTTCCTCCTCCCTATCTTCCAGAAGCCAGCATTAGCCTTCAATAAAGGTATGTAATACTTACATAATTGTGAAAAAAAATTTTTTTTTGGGGGTGAATATTTCTGTTTGGAACGAATTAATTTTATTTCCATTAATTCTTATGGGAAATATTAATTCGGTTATCAGCCATTTCGGTTATTGGCCGACCTTCAGGAACGGATTACGGCCGATAACTGGGGGTCCACCGTACATGTAAATGCACTGGAAAACATACAAAGGAGGATGACAAAGTTGATCCCATGTATCAGAAATCTTCCCTACGAGGACAGACTGAGGGCCCTGAATCTGCACTCTATAAAGGCATAGAATTAAGGGGGATATGACTGAGGTGTATAAATGGAAAACAGGAATTAATAAATGTAAACAGGAATTAATAAATGTAAATAGCACGCTAAAAATATCTAGCCTAGACAAGACTCGGACTCGCAGCATTGGCTTTAAGTTAGAAAAATTCAGATTCAGGAAGGATATAGGAAAGCACTGGTTTGGTAATAGAGTTGTGGATGAGTGGAACAAACTCCCAAGTACTGTCATAGAAGCGAAGACGTTGTGTAGTTTTAAAAATTGGCTAGATAAATACATGAGTGGGTGTGCGCTGAACCTGACTAGCTTGTGCTACTAGGTCAAATGCCATGCTCCTTCCTTAAGTGAAAGTGACCTGACCTAACTAGGTTAAGGCATTAGCTTAAGCCAGTAGGAGAATTGGATCTGCCTCACATGGGCCAGTAGGCCTGCTGCAGTGTTCCTTCTTTCTTATGTTCTTATGTACAGTAGTTTACACTACACTGTAACGAGTGCATCGCTACGTGAGGAGAGGCTTTACTGTATCACTATTTCAGAATTAATTTACAATCTAGTAACAAAAAATATACTTAATGCACTACATGATATTATATTTCCAAGAACAGTAAATATATCACTCAAGGGGTGCCTTGATGCTGGTGAAGTTTCTATCTTCTTCCTTGGACCAAACATGATTATTTCCCATTCCCCTAGCACTGCATGGCTCCTATGCTTTTAGCACTTACCTGCTTCCCCATGCATAATAATAATAATAATAATGTTGTGTAAATGATAAGAAAAGAAGATTGTGGATGTTATGAATGAGAAGAAGCTGGATGTCCTGGATAAGGATAAGCTATGGCAGGAATAGAGGGACTTCAAATGTATTAATTCAAGGATTATGTGGAGTAAAATAAAGATTGGATGTGAAAAGTGGGTTATAGTAAGTGCATATGCACCTGGAGAAGAGAGAAGTGTAGAGGAGAGAGAGAGATTTTGGGAAATGTTGAGTGAATGCATGGGGAGTTTTGAATCAAGTGTGAAAGTAATGGTGGTTGGGGATTTCAATGCTAAAGTGGGCAAAAATGTTATGGAGGGAGTAGTAGGTAAATTTGGGGTGCCAGGGGTAAATGTAAATGGGGAGCCTTTAATTGAGCTATGTGTAGAAAGAGATTTGGTAATAAGTAATACATATTTTATGAAAAAGAGGATAAATAAATATACAAAGTATGATGTAGCACGTAATGAAAGTAGTTTGTTAGATTTATGTATTTGGGAGAGAAAAGGTTGATGGGTAGGCTCCAGGATGTACATGTTTATAGAGGGGCAACTGATATATCGGATCATTATTTAGTTGTAGCTACAGTTAGAATAAGAGGTAGATGGGAAAAGAGGAAGGTGGCAACAAGTAAGAGGGAGGTGAAAGTGTATAAACTAAGGGAGGAGGAAGTTCGGGTGAGATATAAGCGACTATTGGCAGAAAGGTGGGCTAGTGCAAAGATGAGTAAATGGGGGGGTTTGAAGAGGGTTGGAATAGTTTTAAAAATGCAGTATTAGAATGTGGGGCAGAAGTTTGTGGTTATAGGAGGGTGGGGGCAGGAGGAAAGAGGAGTGATTGGTGGAATGATGAAGTAAAGGGTGTGATAAAAGAGAAAAAGGTAGCTTACAAGAGGTTTTTACAAAGCAGAAGTGTTATAAGAAGAGCAGAGTATATGGAGAGTAAAAGAAAGGTGAAGAGAGTGGTGAGAGAGTGCAAAAGGAGAGCAGATGAAAGAGTGGGAGAGGCACTGTCAAGAAATTTTAATGAAAATAAGAAAAAAATTTGGAGTGAGTTAAACAAGTTAAGAAAGCCTAGGGAAAGTATGGATTTCTCAGTTAAAAACAAAGTAGGGGAGTTAGTAGATGGGGAGATGGAGGTATTAGGTAGATGGCAAGAATATTTTGAAGAAATTTTAAATGTTGAGGAAGAAAGGGAGGCGGTAATTTCATGCACTGGTCAGGAGGTATACCATCTTTTAGGAGTGAAGAAGAGCAGAATGTAAGTGTGGGGGAGGTACGTGAGGCATTACGTAGAATGAAAGGGGGTAAAGCAGCTGGAAGTGATGGGATCATGACAGAAATGTTAAAAGCAGGGGGGAATATAGTGTTGGAGTGGTTGGTACTTTTGTTTAATAAATGCATGAAAGAGGGGAAGGTACCTAGGGATTGGCGGAGAGCATGTATAGTCCCTTTATATAAAGGGAAAGGGGACAAAAGAGATTGTAAAAATTATAAAGGAATAAGTTTACTGAGTATACCAGGAAAAGTGTACCATAGGGTTATAATTGAAAGAATTAGAGGTAAGACAGAATGTAGGATTGCGGATGAGCAAGGAGGTTTCAGAGTGGGTAGGGGATGTGTAGATCAAGTACACCTACCATCCGACTTACGACCGAGTTCGGTTCCGAGAAACTGGTTGTAAGTCGAAATGGACGTAAGTCGAACTTTACTACTAAATATCAACATCACATTTTTGTAATGACTTTATTTTATTGTTTTATTTTGGTATTTCATGTTTTACTTTACTTTTTATGCTGTTAGTACTGTATTTTATACTGTAAGGTTTAGGATAAGCACTGTGTACAACACAAATAGTTGTTTATTTCCCAGAAATTTGGCAAAAAAAAAACACGGTCGTATGTCGAGTGGTCATAAGTCGAGCAGGCCGTAAGTCGGATGGTATGTGTATTTACATTGAAGCATGTATGTGAACAGTATTTAGATAAAGGTAGGGAAGTTTTTATTACATTTATGGATTTAGAAAAGGCATATGATAGAGTGGATAGAGAAGCAATGTGGCAGACGTTGCAAGTATATGGAATAGGTGGTAAGTTACTAAATGCTGTAAAAAGTTTTTATGAGGATAGTGAGGCTCAGGTTAGGGTGTGTAGAAGAGACGAAGACTACTTCCCGGTAAAAATAGGTCTTAGACAGGGATGTGTAATGTCACCATGGTTGTTTAATATATTTATAGATGGGGTTGTAAAAGAAGTAAATGCTAGGGTGTTCGGGAGAGGGGTGGGATTAAATTATGGGGAATCAAATTCAAAATGGGAATTGACACAGTTACTTTTTGCTGATGATACTGTGCTTATGGGAGATTCTAAAGAAAAATTGCAAAGGTTAGTGGATGTGTTTGGGAATGTGTGTGAAGGTAGAAAGTTGAAAGTGAACATAGAAAAGAGTAAGGTTATGAGGGTATCAAATGATTTAGATAAAGAAAAATTGGATATCAAATTGGGGAGGAGGAGTATGGAAGAAGTGAATTTTTTCAGATACTTGGGAGTTGACGTGTCGGCGGATGGATTTATGAAGGGTGAGGTTAATCATAGAATTGATGAGGGAAAAAAGGTGAGTGGTGCGTTGAGGTACATGTGGAGTCAAAAAACGTTATCTATGGAGGCAAAGAAGGGAATGTATGAAATTATAGTAGTACCAACACTCTATATGGATGTGAAGCTTGGGTGGTTAAAATGCAGCAGCGAGGAGACGGTTGGAGGCAGTGGAGATGTCCTGTCTAAGGGCAATGTGTGGTGTAAATATTATGCAGAAAATTCGGAGTGTGGAAATTAGGAAAATGTGTGGAGTTAATAAAAGTATTAGTCAAGAGGGCAGAAGAGGGGTTGTTGAGGTGGTTTGGTCATTTAGAGAGAATGGATCAAAGTAGAATGACATGGAAAGCATATAAATCTATAGGGTAAGGAAGGCGGGGTAGGGGTCGTCCTCGAAAGGGTTGGAGAGAGGGGGTAAAGGAGGTTTTGTGGGTGAGGGGCTTGGACTTCCAGCAAGCATGCGTGAGCGTGTTAGATAGGAGTGAATGGAGACGAATGGTACTTGGGACCTGACGATCTGTTGGAGTGTGAGCAGGGAAATATTTAGTGAAGGGATTCAGGGAACCGGTTTTTTTCATATAGTCGGACTTGAGTCCTGGAAATGGGAAGTACAATGCCTGCACTTTAAAGGAGGGGTTTGGGATATTGGCAGTTTGGAGGGATATGTTGTGTATCTTTATACGTATATGCTTCCAAACTGTTGTATTCTGAGCACCTCTGCAAAAACAGGGATAATGTGTGAGTGAGGTGAAAGTGCTGAATGATGATGAAAGTATTTTCTTTTTGGGGATTTTCTTTCTTTTTTTGGGTCACCCTGCCTTGGTGGGAGACGGCCGACTTGTTGAAAAAAAAAATAACAATAATAATAATAATAATAACAATGCAATACAAGTATACTGAGCTTAAAGGTATTCCAACAAGATGATGTGTGAATTACACTTACCTTTAATAATTTTTGAATTTTACGATCCGTATGAGCAAAGTCCTCCCTTGATGCCCACTGCCGAGTCTCACCAATAGAATGGTCAACAGTTTTGAAAGCTTCTAATACACTGGATAAATCCTTGGCTTCTGACATATATGATACAACTGATTGCAACTGTACTTCTTGAGCTTTCCCATCTTCTAAAATATCTTCAACTCGCTTTTGCTCTCTTTTAATACAGTCACCAGTAATCTGCAATGCCAGTGAACAAGAAGCTAATTTTTCCTGGTAACTGCAGATTTCATTCTTAGACTCCTTTAAATTTTTGCCTGCAGCTTCAGCTTCACTTTTCTTCACCTGTATCATTTCTGATAATGTTTCCTTGTATGGAGTAACAAAACACTCACCACTGGAATGATCAATTCTACCACATTCCATACACAGCCAAACCTGACATTTAGAACAATGGCAGGACAGAGTAACTTCAGGAGTAAGAATACATTTACTTTTATGGGGTGAGATTTCTTTTGTTTTTGGAGGAGTTGAAGACCAGTTAGAAGAAGCATTCTTGGATGAATTACTTCCTGTGGATTTACTGCCTCCAGCCACAGTAAAATTACCTCTAGCATTGTCTTCAATCAGTTTTATTAGAGAGAAATTTTTGGGAACATCACCAGCAGAATGTAATTTTGAATGCACTGATCGGCATGTGGGACACGATACTGAATTATTTTTTAAAATCTGTTTGAGACATGGTGTGCATAAACTATGGCCACAATTCAGTATTCTTGGGATGTTACTAGTAGCATTGAAATCAAGTCGACATACTTCACAATCCATGTCTCTGAAAAAAGATTATTAAAATAAATAGCATGTCTTAGCTCTAGATAAAGATTAATTTATTAATTTTAAGTAGCATTCATACAACAAGTAAACTTAAAACACACTGGTAAATTTATATTTTGCAAAAATTCAATGAAGTTTAAAAAAAAGCAAGTGGCAGTATTAAATCTCTGGGCCTAATGTCCAACGTCATTAAAATTCAATATTAAGCCTTGAAATACAGCTATCTAATCCATATCTGGTGACTGTTAATACTGCATAGATGACCAAAGCTCAATATATCCTATCATTTTTTGCCTTCCACATTAGAGTAATTTTTTTGCTCCAGGAAAATATCTCGATTTCTTCTTCTAGGATATACAATAAAGAAGCCTCCGAAGCCTTATCACTGAACTCCGCTTTGATCAAAGACAGACGTAATTATTCTATGATACAGGCACTTATATCACTCTATTTAGCTTTTCTAGATTTTTCCACCACCACATCAAATGCTATTTTATCACTATCGCTGGCTATGGTAGGGTGACTGTTGAAGAAAGATTACTTGAAGAATATTTGCTTTCCATTTGTATACTGCAACCGCTGCCAACTACAGGACTTTTTGTATTTCCACAAGTACCTATACTTCTCGTACTTCAATAAAAGAAGAATTTTCGTCACTCCACCCCACTAAGTACCCTTTTGTTACTGTTATTAGCTATGGCAGCACTGTTGAAAGGGTTTCTGATATACATGTATATGGTCTTATTTTGTGTATCCTGCATTTAGTGACAACTCTACACTGTTTATCATACTTCTATGAAACTGTACACTTTTTGTATTTCCTCAGAAATATCAACCTGGATGACTGCTAATAAACTTACACTTAATACTGACAAAACCTACATTCTGTTTGGGGACAGAACAGGTGTTGCCCAGCTGAACATAACGACTGACAACACACTTACTGCTAAACATAATGAGGGCAAATTCCTGGGCCTGCACCTTGACAGCAACCTGAAATTCAACACCCATATCCAACAAATAACAAAAAAAGTATCCAAAACATTTGGGATCCTCTCCAAGATACGCTACTACGTACCACAATCAGCCCTACTCACACTATGCTATTCACTCATCTATCCCTACCTCACCTATGCTATTTGTGCCTGGGGATCAACAGCAGTAACTCACCTAAAGCCAATAATAATCCAACAGAAAGCCGCAGTAAGAATTATCATGCAAGCCAATGCAAGACAACACACACCCCCACTCTTCATAGACCTAAACCTACTCACCATTTAGAACATTCACACCTACTACTGTGCAACCTACATTTACAAAACCATAAATTATAATATTAACCCTGATCTAAAACACTTTCTTGGTAGTTGCAACAGGACACACAGACACAATACCAGACACAAAAATCTCTGACATTCCCAGTGTCCGGCTAAATCTCTACAAAAATTTGATGTACATAAAAGGGCCTAAAATCTGGAACTCCCTGCCTGAAAACTCTAAAACCGCAGATTCAACCACCATTTTCAAAAACATCTAGTCTCCCTAACACACCCCATCATCAGCTAATCAAATGAAAACCACCTAATGAACACATCCAAAACAATACAGTCTTATTCTCATTATCTGTAATTCCCCCCTAATTTACACTGACACCCACCCAAATGACTGTAAACATAAAATTCCTAATATAGCTATTGCCTATTAAATCTTAAGTTAGTCCTACGTTCACCAAGACAAATCCAATCCCATCACTATATCTACCATTTGTAATATTATAATATGATTTGTACTACCTATTTTATATCTAATTGTGTATGTACCTAATTAGGTATGTGTCTAATAATGCATGTTCAAATGTACTGCTCCATAACCTACATCAATATAGAGTAAGAATTAGTATTCGTCTGCCTGAAATGCCTAGGCATGCTAGTGGCCTTCTTTGTAATTAATATTTTATAACATGTAAACCATGTTTTAAAATATTAATTACAAAGAAGGCCACTAGCATGCCTAGGCGTTTCAGGCAGACTAATACCAATTCTTACTCTATATTGATGTAGGTTATGGAGGTTGTAACCACAGAGGTTGTCACCACAGCAGGTCCGCCGTGCTCCGTCATTTTATTTAGATTTTCACTTTTTTTTTTTTTTGAGCTAGGAACTATCAAACTGTGCCAGTGAACTTATAAGGTACATCCTTCCAGTGCTTGGAACTAATCTAACAAAAAATAAAAAGTGGGCCAAGTCATACTCCCAGAGGGGAACCATAGGCATAGGTGCAGTGTGCAAAAATAACTTAGAACAAATCTGTCAAGAGGAAAGAAACTCTCCCTGATAATAGTGTCATACATAGAAGTATAGTGTATATCACAGTGATACCGTAGTGTTCAGGTAAGATCCCATAATAAATGCTATGGTGAAAATTAAGCAGGAAGTGATAGGCCTAAATAATTAGTATGACAATCTAATATGACATAATAAACAATATAAATAACATAAAAACATGTATTTGGCATAATACCGAGCAGTTTGACGGAGGTATGAAGAGGATATGGGATACAAGTACCATTCTCCTATCCCTGTTTTGGGGGCTTATATTAGAGAAAATGGAGTATAGCACAGGGCTAACTGTGATATACACTTTTAGTGCACCATAAAACTGAAACAAAAAAGCTATTTTCTCTACAAAGATTATCATACATATCAGCATATGTGTAGAGAACCTAGGATAACCCAAAAATGTCAAAGTGACTTATTTCTAGTACCTGGCTTGGGCTTGCCATGTATGATTTTTGGTAGATAATTATTTTTCTTAGTTGTTTGTTGGGCTATCTTATTGAAACGTGGGCAACGTATGATGGAAAGATACTTCTTAAACCCTTGACTGTCTCAACCCCAAATCCTGAGGTATCTCCCGGTGTCAAAAAAAAAAAAATATAGAGAATCTTTTCCCGATTTTAATGACACCAAAAGAACGAAATTTGATGGAAAACTCACGGAATTACGTTCTCGCAAAGTTGGCGACCTAGGCGATATTTACGAATTGGCGATTTCGCCAACTTTGAGCCCTACTTTCGGCTAATTCCATTGTTCCAGTCTACCAGACTCATAGCTATTTCGTTAGAACTCCATTTCTTCTATCGACTGAGTATAAGAAACTGCCCATTTACAGATTTCAACTACCCAATAACGTGGTCAGAAATTTGCAATTTGGCCAATTTCATGAAAATTAAAAAAATATGACAATTTCAAAATAGGGTCCAGAATGAGCAATGCAGACATTCCTGGCTCTAAAATAACATTTTCTTTGTTCATCAGTCACATGTCTAGGCCCCTCTTGATATTACTCTTGCTTTCTATTTTGAATTTTTATTCAAACAAAAAATAGAAGATTTACTGTTATGCAGACTACAGCAATATTGTAATAATTGTATAAATAATGTCAGCCCATTTATGACTGCATATTAGAATGGCTACTTGGGCATTTATTGGAAAATGACGATCATTTCTTTACTTTTGAACATCGGCAAAAATCAAACATTTCCCCTACTTTGAGCTCCATTTCAAGGTTCTTTTCATAGTAAAACCAATCAAAATCACCTCTATTTCTATAATATATTTTCCATTCTATCAAACGAGACCAAGAAAATGAGAATACAACCATAAATAGTATACGAAAATAGACCACAAAGTCGGCATTTTAACCCCTTGACTGTTGCAACCCCCAATCTTGAGGTGTCTCCTGGTGTCGCAAAATTAAAAAAAAAAAAAAAATCTTATGAAATGATAGAGAATCTTTTCCCGATTGTAATGACACCAAAAAAACGAAATTTGATGGAAAACTGACGGAATTATGCTCTCGTGAAGTTAGCGACCTCGGCGATATTTACAAATCGGCGATTTCGCCCACTTTGAGCCCTATTTTCGGCTAATTCCTGTGTTCCTGTCGACCAAACTCATAGCTATTTCTTTAGAACTCCATTTTTTCTATCGATTGAGTACAAGAAACTGCCCATTTACCGATTTCAACTACCTAATAATGTGGTCAGAAATTTGCAATTTGGCCAATTTCACGAAAAATAAAAAATATGACAATTTGAAAATAAGGTCCAGAATGAACAATGCAAACATTCCTGGCTCTAAAATAACATATTCTTTGTTCATCAGTCACGTCTCCAGGCCCCTCTGATATTACTTTTGCTTTCTATTTTGAATTTTTATTCAAACAAAAAATAGAAGACTTACTATTATGCAGACTACTGCAATACTGTAATAATTGTATAAATAACATCAACCCATTCATGACTGCATATTAGAATGGCTAGTTGGACATTTATTGGACAATGACATCATTTGTTTACTTTTGAACATTGGCAAAAATCAAACATTTCCCCTATTTTGAGCTCCATTTCCAGGTTCTTTTTATAGTAAAATCAATCAAAATCACCTCTATTTCTATAATATGTTTTCCATTCTATCAAATGAGACCAAGAAAACGAGAATACAACCATAAATACTATATGAAAATAGACCACAAATTCGGCATCTTAATTAAAAAAAAAAAAAACGGTCGGAGTTTTTTTTTCTCATTATGCACTGCGTGCTCCAGGATTTTTTTTATACGGTTCACACTGACCACACAGACACATTCTCTCACATGTGAGCTTTCTCCTGCTTGATTTGAAGCCGCTAGAATTTATGAGTATATATACGTACGTCAAACACGGTACTTCGTAAGACGTATATATACGGCCGCGACAGTCAAAGGGTTAATAATTTTTTTTTTTTTTTTCATTATGCACTACTTGCTGCAGGATTTTTTTTATATGGTGCACACTAACCACACAGACCCATTGTTTCACATGTGGGCCTACCAGCTTTCTCCTGCTTGATTTGAAGCCACTAGAATATATGAGTATATATACGCCAAAAACAGTGGCTCGTAAGACGCATATATACGACCAAAACAGTCAAAGGGTTAACGTTCACCAAAAATGAA